TTTCCATTTCACCGATGAGCTTAAATCCCGCTTAAGCCAATGACATGTTCTCCTTAAACCTTTAATTACAAATCCAGGCACTGAAGATTATGTGAAACCATTTACTATGTCCACAAATATACAGAGAGAGGGAAAATCACTAAAGTTTACTTAATCAGAATTTTTTAATCAATATTTCGGAACATGCAGAATATTTGTTCACCTCCTCCCTAAACACCAGGTATCCTCTTCTACCTCTAGGCCCCAGAGCACAAGATGTTACCATAAGAGAAATCCTTGTCACAATATCCTGCCTAGGATAAATACTGATTTTTTCCTACTAGTACTTTTATTTACTGAACACCAATTCTGGGCCTGTCCTTGCTCATTGAGGCAAAATATTAGTAAGCCTCAGTTCCTGCACACTAAAAAACCATCAAAAGGGAGACATAAGACATGCAAGTAAAAATCAAAGTCGCACTGTGAACAATAGGAACCATTTTAAGTGTTTCTCACAAGCTGGTTATATAAGTAAACACATCTCAGCAGCCATTGGTCATAGTGCTATGATAACTCCCACCTCATAGATGAAGAGACTGGGGTTTGGAGAGACCAAATCTCATAAGTAGGAAGCAGGGAGAATGTATTATAACAAGGAAGGAGCTAATTCAGCCTGGGTAATGCATGAAAGACTTCAAGGGGTGAGAAGTCTTTGGGTTGAACCTCAAAGAGTAAGTAAGAGGCTTCTGGATCAACACTTAGCTGGTGGGGAATTTAAAATAGACAATGTTGCTGGAGGTCAAATTTCCAAAAGGATTTTCAGAGTTGGTAACTGGATTTTTTTTTTTTTTTTTTTTTTTTGGTGCTTGTTTCTCAAAACAAAGCAATAAGATCATTAAAAAATTAAAAATTAAATACAAGTCTCTTCCACTACCGGGAAGTAGAGCAGTCTTACGAAAACTTTCATGAGCCCAAATGATGTAAAGCAAAGAAGCAATTACCATTCATTTATATGGAAACACTTTTTAGAATTCCCAGACCCAAAAAAGAGCCTACCAAGTCACACCAACTAACGCATCAAACCATAAGCTAGCCGTAAAACAGTACTAAGACCAAGCAGGAGCCGTGTGATAAATGCACAGCCAGTATAAGGTAGAAATAATGTGCGCATAGCATAGTTGCACTTACCAGAATCAGGAAGACAGCGCACATGCTGGAAAGCTGCAAGCTGGTAATGTTGGGATATTAGGCTGTGTCCTTGGAGGCTGGAGTGGTGGGCCGTACAGGAGACCCAGATGTAGAAGAGAGAGGAAGGTCATCGATTAACATCCATCAGGGCGGGCAAATCACTCACATCCACATCTTCTGGTCCAGCCTCTGTGCAAAGGAGCAGGTTGGTCCCCTCCTGTGGCCTCTGTGGAAGGCTTGAAATAAGCACAGTGGAAGATGGCGCATCCCATGGTGGTGGGAGTGGTGTGGTAACAACACCTGAAGGGTGCGGATCCTACACCTCTAAATCACACACAGTGTTGCAAGACAGTGACACCTCCATTCAATTTTAAAATGATTGTATGCTTGACTGTTTAGCCGTAGGCATTTTTCTACTAGACCATTCTTTGTAGGAACTCAAATCATCCCGGGGAATCGGCCTCTTTCAAAAGTAAAGTGCCCTTTCAAAAGGAAAGTTACACTTTTCTGCAATCTTTGCAGCCCTGTCAGTCCCAGAGAACATCTCAGGTAAGGGCTTCCTTCCTTCAGTTCCCGACCACCTCGCTTTCAGGTCTGTGTTAAGGTGCTTGAGCTTTATGCTAAGCGTAACAACACCCTTACAGACTCTGTTGGGCTTTTCTGATCCCTTAGGACAACTCACCAAATAAGTGGTGATAAAGTACAGAGGCTCACAGCCCAAAGCTCTGGTGGCAGACACTGAGGTGCCCGGTGGCTCCAGGCGGGGGAGCCTGGCTTCGCTGCTTCTAGAACCGCTGCCAAGTAAATGTTGCACGTGATTTTTGCTTTTTGTCGGGAAAAATGCAATGCTCTTTGGATTTCTTTCTGTTAGCAAAAAGCAAGCACTAATGTCGGCCTTGGAAAGAAGCGGGTGTGATGTAGGGCAGGAAGTCTCAGTGCAGGTTCTCTATGATCTGAGCAGATGGGTAAAGAAGCGTCCTGGAATCCTCGGTAGCTCTTTCAGGCTTTTATTGAGCTTTTACCAGGTACACAGCAGGTAGGGGTGCTGGGGAGCCAGAAGGCTGACAGGCCTCCCAGGCCCCGGGTGAATCTTCACTCTTTCTGGGCTCTCAGGTGTTCTCTCGTGGCTGCTTCCCTGCTGGTTCTACTGATCTCATTCTCTTCTCATTCTGCTGCCGACCCTTGAGGCCGCCCTTATAAGCCCAGTCTCAGCACAGGTGTGCCCACCTACGCATTCCCACACCCTGCTCCAGGTGTCCACCATCAGGCATGCATGTAGGACCGCAGGGATCCATCATTAATCCAAATGGCAGGAGGGTGGAAAAGCCTGATACTTTCTCACTTACCCTAAACGTGGGTAATGTGAAAGAAGGAACACAAACCTCCGCCCCGCTTGATCTCTCTCTTTAACATGATACAATTAGAAATTCATTCTCTTTTTTAAAGATTTATTTTATTTATACAAGAACCAGGGTACAGGCCAGATGTGCAGGAGGGTGAGAGGATTCACCAGAGGCAGAGCGGGGAACAGAATAGGCAGACTGACGAAATACACTGCTGAGGGGAGCAGTGGGTGAGATAGGAGAGGTCGGCTCGCCATGTGAGTTGCTCCGAGGCCGACGGGGATCGAACCGGCACTGCAGAGGCTGCGGACAGCTTCACAGTGTTGCACTCAACCGCCTGCACCACCAGGGAGGCCCAGAGAAATTCATTCTTTTGAGCTAAATTATTGTCTGCTCCCTAACAATCTCCTACTAAAGGCACAGGGGAGACACATGTTACTGAATCAGTGTCCCGGCTCCATGCTACACCAGAGTTTGACTGCCAATTATCACCTGGGTGACCTTGTGCAATTCCTGATGTGTAAAATGGGCATGATTAAGAACAGTATAGCCTCCTAGGTTGTTTTGAGCATAAGAGAAGACATGCAAAGCACTTAGTATAGTGCCAAACATTTTGCAAGCATTCAATAAACATTAACTAATCCTATAATTAACAAGACCCCAAAAGAAGGAGGATTAGAAGTGTCTGGATGAGGGGGCAAACAGTGAGGGTAGATTTAGGGGAAACTATCACTGTTTCCCTGGAACTGAGGGTCAAAGACATAAAGAAGAAAAAGGTAGAGATTGACAAGGGAGGACAGGGTCCCATTCATGGTGTGTAGGGGTTAAGTCTCATACGTTACACATTAGTTTCCCCATAAAACTTCAATTCTCCGTATTTGTAGCACCCAGTTCCTACCAGGTGTTTAATAAGTATTTATTAGATAACTAACTGAATGAATGAGGGGTTACCTTTTGTATTTATGAATACACATAAGATGTATATAAGAAAGGCAGGAAGAACACACTCTAATTATTCAGTGTAGTTACACTGAGTTTGCAAGATTACAGATGATTTGGTTTTTGTTGTTTTTTATTTTCAAAATTTCTGTACTAGACCTTAGTTCTATAATTTGGAGGGAAGCAGATGGGATTTCAAATAATTCTTGGGTTTCTGGACTACACAAAGATAGATTGTTCTCATTTTTCTCTCATAATGAAGGGAATTTTATGGAACAGAACTTCTCAAACTCTAATGTGCTGACAAATCGCCTGGTTTCAATGCAGATCCAAGCTCAGCAGGCCTCATGCAGCACCTCAGAGTCAGGATTTCTAACCAGCTCCCAGGTGATGCTAATGGAGTGGGCCTTTGGGATACACTGTGAGGAACCAGCTTTACAGTCCAATGTAAAATAAACTCCATCCCACTTACACAGAGAAAACAAAAATAGGAAAAGACAGGCTAACTCTGTCTCACCCTCAAGACAACATGACTTCAGGACATTTATCTCTTAGATTGCACATGCTTTGGGATTTTATTTTGCCATCTAGTTATATTGTTCAAAAGAAAGGATTAATTAGTCTTTTAAAGCCCTGGGGATACTCACATTTGCTTGACAATAGGAAGAGCTGTGGCAGGCCTGGCTCTTCTTTTTGCACTCTCTTCCATTAAACACTACCTCTGGTGCTGTCAGTCAAGTTCTCTTTAGATTAATGTCTCCTAAATTAATTTTGTGTTCAATAAACCTCCATAAATATGTTTGTTCAGCAGACCAAATTGGACCCTTCGATTTAACTAAGGGTGGAAGCGCAGCCTCGCACACCCGTCCCCATTCACAGGCTGGCGGCCCTGCTTTCATTAGTCACTGTCACCGGTGGTGCTCACTGGCCCCTGCTAAGCTCCTCCACACAATCAAATGTTGCTCCTATTGAAATATAATCCTCCCGGAGCATAGAGGGTCATTTTCCAAATTGGCTGAAGAGGATTACAAAGTACTGGAGAAAATAAACAAAAGTGGACGTAATCCTTAATTTAAGAGTCTCTTTCAACAAATCTGCATTTACTTTAGCCCTTATTTTCTCACAGAATTTTTAGTACACTGCTTCTCTCCCACCCATCTTGTCCCATTCTATTCCCAAAGACTATCCAACCCTGCTAGATCCCTGTATTACAGACCTTGGAGTTGGGCCAAACTCCTCATTTTACAGATAAGGAATCTTAGTTCTTTATCTTAGTTGTCCAGAGAGGCTAGACACCCTTTTCAAAGTCCTCCAGTTTCACCGGAGGCTTCCTCTGTGACCTCAAGCTGCCTTGCTCAGTTTAATTGCTTGAAACCATAGACTTGGGAGTAAACAAATCAGGCTTCTTGCTTTGCCATCCGTGTATTGTTCATAAACAGCTCCAAAGGCCAATGGTGCAATACAGTAATGTAAAATATAACCATAAAAACAGCAATAATAAACATTTGTGATTGTGTAATTTTTAATGATAAAAATTTCAAACATTCAGAGATGATATGATGGACCTCCATGTACCTGTCATCCAGTGTCCATGATTCTCAACACTGGCTATTTTCGTATCATCTATTCACCACTATACCATTTACTTTTGTCTATGCAATAATTTTTAATACTTTGGGCTATTTTTGCAGTTTTTTCACTATGTCTTAAAATAATATACATTTGCAGTTATCCCCAGATTTATCAGATTAAGATATCACCTACTGACTTTTGATTAAGGCAAATCAAGACATAGCTCTCTCCCAGCCTCCCAGTCCACCATCCAATCCTCTGGTTTTGTTTCTCAAAAGAATAAATTATAGATCTTCAGCAGAAACGGGATAAGAATCTGGTATCTAAATGATGCTTACACAGACTTTTAAATAACTCTTCTCTCCAGTGTTCCATCTCACCCAGTTTTTAAAGTCTCTTGCAGCACCCCCACCCCATATCTGAGGATTTTCTGCATTGTGTTTGACAAACACAAAGCAAACAAAGCATGTGTGTGCTTGCACCCCACTCACACACCTTGCAACCATTCAGTTTCACACTTCACTCTCTCAGATTGTGAACATTTTTCCTTCTCTCTCTCATTTGGCTTTTTTTTTTTAATTGAAGGTGCCAATTGTTTCATAATTTCCTATTTCCTGTTCTCATTGTTGATTTTGTTAACTGTGGAAGAGAGAAAGATGAGAGAAATACATCATCTTGAAGAATATTCCACTGACCAAGATTTGAAACTGGCTTCATCATTTATTAGCTATGACATTTTGAGAGACATCTTTTCTAAACCTGTTTTCTCAACTTTCCTGATAATCTTCTCTTCCTACTGTGGATGATTAAATGATCAAGATCTCTGGGACAGAGAAGCATCCTGTTACATCAAGAGATGGATAACTGTAGGCACACAGGTGGCATGTACAACATCTCCTGGAGATGTGGGCAGAATGAGGGGCACCCTCATTGTGTTAGTGGGCAGAATGAGGGGCACCCTAGGACCCCCAAATCTGCACACTCTGAATGGGTTCTGCCATCTGCCATATAAAGACAAAAATATTTTTAGTGTGTAAGTCTTCAGTTGGTAAGAACTTTTATATCATTAGTGTGTAATAGAGAAAAGAGAAAGAATATACTTAAAATAGTTTCTAATTAAATACCCAGTTACCCATCCACTCATGGGTAAATGCTCAGCCAAACAGGGTAGGCCTAAAACAGAATAACTGGGGCCCAAAAACTTGCCACAAGTCTCTCCATTTTCTGGTTGGGACCCATAAGAAAGGAACAGAAGGGGTCAGGCAAGTTTGGAAGGAAAGAAGCAAAATCAAAATACAAATCAAGATAAATGTTGCCATTGTCAGCCTTCCCACAGTTCTCTCAGCCACATCTCTGTCTCTTTCAAGTGTTTCTTTCCACATTCCCCAAGTACAAGTCCCAGGCTAAAAAGCAAGCACAGCTTCTTCACAAGTCTCTGCTCCACAGGCATCCTCCAGAACTTCTCTCTGCCTTCTTCTTCTTGAGTCCTCTCCCAAGTCGTTAGATTCTCCCTCACCATTCAACTTCACCTTCCCATAGGTGGGACAGGGAACATGGAGCTGACCCAATCTATGGATTTCACACTGTTTTCATTTTTACCCCCGCCATTTCTATGGTGGTGAAGATCTGGGGGTGCAGCCTTAGGGGACAGTCTTTCCCAGGATTCCAGTGTGCTCAAGAGAAACAATAGTCACTAGGCCTTGTCCATGGCTCTCCAGTGTGGCAAAGTCCTGCATTTCTAGGAGATAGTTGATCAGTCCAAGCAAAAAGGAAAAAAAAAAAAATTCTAGAGGCTTTAGTCAAACAAAATAGTAAACAGAGTATCAGAAAATCCCAAGAAAAATCTTAAAACAGGTCCTACTTGCTTAAAATCAATTTCTCTCCATCTTGATTCCAATTCTATCCAACAGTAGAGCAAAATACTTTTGCAAACTAACTTTTACCTATTTTTGCATAAAGTTACAGGGCAGAATAACCATGCCCCAATTTAGCTGGCTTTGGAATGCTCCACAGGGATTAGCGCAAGCTCTTGACATGCAGTCCACAAAGGCTTAAGGTTTAAGGTCCCAGACTTACCAGATTCCACCAGGGTTTCCTTTTCTCGAGGTTTCTCTCTTAGGGTTTTCCAGTCCTGCCAATGGAGGCAAACTACTGTGAGGAAGAAACAGGAGATAAAAATGTATGGTCCTCTTTTAGTGTTCCATTGTGAAGATTTAATGGGGTGAAGTTTGTATTATTCGTAAAAAGTAGTGGCTATAAATATATGCATAAATAAGCAAATACATGGTTTAAAATGTTTTTTGAATACATATTTTTAAATGGAAGAATAAACCATACAATTTTTAAATAGTTAAAGATATATACAGTGGGAAATAGAAGGAATAAAAACTATGCGTCTTTGAATATACCCAGATTTGACTTGAAACAAATAATTTATATTATTATAAAATAAAATTTAAGAAATTAATGGCAATTCATAAATGAAAATTAAACCTAAACAAATGAACACATCTATATCCTTTGATAGGATAATCCTGAAAAGAAACATTCTAAAGTAATGACCTGTACATCCCTAGTAATATATACTTTAAAGAAAGAAAGAACTGCGAAATTCTTAAGATTATTTTCAGTAATCACATTGTTGAAGGGAGAGTGGGTATTACTATGCAACAGACTATGAGTCTGTGTATTGAAGAGAAAAAAAAGTACTTAAGATGGTGTCACTAAGAATCAGGTTTTTCAATGTGGAGGAAAGGAAACAAAGATATCAGATAATAAGTTTACTCTGTAATCCTAAATTTGAATTGACAGTGTAATGTAAATTTATAAGGTATTTTACTTTTAAGTAAAATTTTTTAGCTTCTAACATTGGAATAATTATAGATTTACAGAAGTTGCAAAAACAGAGCTCCTTTATACCTTTACCTGGTTTCCTTAACTTGCTACATAACTATGGTATAATGTCAAAACCAGGAAATTGACATTGGTACAATATGTGTATATATTTCTATGTCATTTTATTACATGTTTTAATTTTTGTAGCCACCACTACAATTAAGGAACAAAATTATTCTATCACCACAAAGATCTCTTCATGCTAACCCTTCACATAATCATACCTCCTCCCACTCATCCCTAACCCTGGCAACCACTAATCTGTTTTACATATCTATAATTTGTCATTTTGTAAATGTTATATAAATGGAATCATACAATGTGTGAACCTTTGAGGTTGGCTTTTTTCTTCCAGTATAATGCCCTTGAGATTCAGCCAAGTTGTGTGTACCAGTAGTTTGTTCCTTTTTGTTGAAGAGTAGTAACCCATGGTATGGAGGGACCCTAGTTGTTTTAGCCATCCAGCTACCATGGAAAGATATTTTGGTTGTTTCCCATTTGGGGCCATTACAAATATGAAAATGCAAGTTCTGTTTTTTGTATGGACATAATTTTCCTTTCTCTGGGGTAAACACCCATGAGTGTGAGTATGGGTTCATGAAGTGTTTCATTTTTAAGAAAATGTCAGAGCAGTTTTCAGAATGGCTATACCATTTTACATTCCCACCAACGACTTATGAGGGAACTAGTTTATCTGCATTCTTGCCCAAGGGCTTCCTGGTTTGCCTCTAGTCAGTCACACTGCACTCTCTCTCTTAGTCTCCTTAGCATGCTCCTCTTTCTCCATCCTCTGACTTTTGCTCATGGCTTTATATCTTCTCTTCAAGTGACATGTTCCCCTGGAACATTACCATAAAATTAATGACTTCAAAGTCCATCCCTGTGTTGAGACTTCTCAGTCCTTATCCTCCAACCAGGTCTCTCTTCCTGAAGAGTAGATATGTATATCCAACCATTTCCAAGAGAGCACCATCTATGTGTCTTCCCATCCTTCAAACTTAACACGTTCAGATTTGAACTCATCACTCCCCCACCCCATGTATTAAAAATGTGTTCTCCACATATTTTTCATCCCAGTAAATGGCACCATCGTCCGCCAAGATGCTTCATGCAAACCTGAAATTCTCCTTCGACCCATCCCTCCTCCTTACATCCTCATCAAATCAATCTTCACCACCTGCCAATCCCACTTACCAAATAATTCCTCTGTTCATGTATTTCTCTCAGTTCCTACAGCCTCTCCAATAGTATATGTCATCATCTTCTCTCACCTACATCATGGAAATGATTGCCTAACTAATATCTTTGCTTTTACTGTTATTTCCTTTCAATCCCAGCTCCATTTATTAGCCAGGGGGGACCTAGTATAATGTAAATATATCACTCCTCTACTAAAAGTCTCACTGGCTTGCAATTGCTCTTCTGGTAAATTCCATATCATGGCTTCAAAATTTTCTGTTATCTAACCCTATTCTAGTTTTCCAGTTCATCTTGCCAATCCTTATTCTACTCTCTCTAATACAGCAACTGACCCTTATTTCACTTATCCCATACCCCCAATCTCTCTCCCCTTATTAAACTATTATTCAATCATTAAGTCTTGGTTTACATATCCTGTCCTCCAGGTCTTTCCTGACCAAAAATAAAGCTAGGGGCCCCACCAAATATATCATAGCATCCTACATTTCATCATGGTGCTAAAAGCTAGAAAACTCCTTGAATAAAAAACAATTACAGCCATCATCTGGTTCTCTTCCAAGTCCTCAGTGCAGGCTTCGAAGCAGAGGATAAACTATGTTCTTCCAGAATTGGTAAATGGCTAAGAGTGTCCCAGAGTCAGTTCCTCACAACATCTACCCTGAGAGGTGTCACAAGTACTGAATTCCCTCAAGAACAGGCACAGTCACTAGAACGTAAACAGAGACCTTCTTTCTCTGAATTAAATATTATTTTAATTTATACTATATGGACATTTACAATAATAATAACCGCATGAGACTCGCAAAATAAGTTCCTAATGCTAACCTGGGGCAAAATATCTAATACAAATTAAAATGGCTCTGTTCCTAGGAATTCTAGTATATTGTATTGTGGATTTTTAGCCAAAATTATACAAGCATAGCTGATTAATATTCTAATTAAAATCAGAATGATACCATAGGAAATTATTGGGTATCCCCAGCAATGACTAAATAATACCTTCCCCCAAACAGTAGACTTCCAACAAATATCTGGATGGAGTAGGTTCTGTCTTCATAAGAACAAAATAGGAGACCTACTCAGAAGGTGATGATGTCTTGAAATGCTGATGTCTCCAAAATTTGCCATATGAATGTCCTCTTAACTTAATAGAGTTATTTTTGGGCTTTGAAGGAATCCTATATATGTACAATCATTTTTTTCTCTCTACCCCAAAATGGAGAAAATTTTGCCCCACTCACAATCTTAAAATGGTAGGTAGCCCTATATACAATGTGATTTTGCCTTTGACTAGACAACTGAAACAAACTGGGTGAGTTCAAAGGACATGTGAACATAGAGATCTAAGCTTTGAAAGCCAAGTGATCTTGGGATCTGAACTCCTTGAGGGCAGCCACGACAGCCTGCCATGAGCCTCACTGAATGAGTACAAGTGCAGGTATGCAAAGGTTGGGAAATGCAACATTAGCCATAGCAGAAACAGGAAATTTTTACTGTGGCCTTTTTCATATCTAATAAACGTGGAAGGCCTCATTTAACAAACTGGTTGGCAAAAATGATAAACAAATAAACCCTTGAAGCCTGACTATACAACTGAGGCTGCAAGAACGAGGGGGAAGGCCGTGAGGAGGCCATGGGAGAAGATCATGGTCATAGGCGTGGTGTGGGAATGTACATCTAACGAGGTATGAACCTACATCCCTGAAACACATAGAGTGTCGTAGACCAGTGTTAGCACAATAAGAACTATCATTTAATAAAGCCAAAATAAAGGGTTAAAAGAGTCTCAAGCTCACCAATATCAGCCATTGCTCCTTTTAACTTTGCCTAATCAGTCAACCTGACAGATCTGATGACCTTTTCTTCCTGCTTCTCCTGGGGCTTCCTTTTCATCCTTTCAAAGGATGTCTTTGTTTGCTTTCCCCTAAAAGGAGATTCTGAGATAAAGATTCTAGTGAAAGTAGTTGATTTGGGAAACACTGGCAGAGTAGGAAATGAGACAAGGAAGGGGAGGTGGTCAGCCACGTTCTCAAACACTGGAGCAACTGGAGCTCAGGCTGATTTGATGTAGGACACAATGTGGCCCTCATTAAGGAGAGAAATTCTCAGGTATTCATCCAACAGCTCCTATCAGTGATTGGCTGAGGGCAGCTTGCAGGGCTTGGATTTTCTGACTTGCATTCAGGCTGTGGACTCCCAGGGCCAGAATTCAGCCACTGTCCTTAGGCAGAGAGTCAGGAATGTCACAGTAGCAGCCTTTGTTTACTGCAGTAAAATCTGAGGGGAAGGACAGGGATTCTGATAACTGCAAAACCCAAGTTTTCTTCAGGTTTCATTATCCTTCACAATTGTGCTCTTTGGCTTAGAATATGGGTCAAAAGATGGGTTGATACTTACATAGCAAGAGTAAGTTGGCAGAATCAAGCATCTATGAAGAAAGAAGAGGATAGACAGTATGTTGTACAAAGTTCTTGCTAGCATTTTGCAGGAGAAACCAGTCTGACAAAGTCCTAAGGCATATCATTTACCAGATGCACAAGTGCCCCAGGCCCCAGAGCATCTAAAAACTCCCATTACAGCAGCAAATACAAAGCAGGCGGTTCATTTTCAAGTGTGATCCAAGTCAACAGGGTCCTGAGATACTGAATAAATTGTCTGAAAGATAAAGTCTTCCTGTTTTCATAAAGTCCTTAACTTTGTTCTCTTTTGCACTTGAAGGTGGAAATTTATTAGAATTAAAAAAAAAAAAAAAAAGGTGGCTTTTACCTGGGCTAGTGGGAAAGCAATGTGTATGACTAGCAGAAAGTATATGTAAATATTGCATGTAAATAAGTGCCATTAAAATTCTCTGAGTGAGTGGATTTTTTAAATCTTTTGGGGGCAATAAATATAAGGCAGCAATCCTTTCTTTTTTTTTTAATGGAATAACTGTCTTTGTGCCAAAAGAAATGCCCCATTTAATTTTTTTTAATATGGAAGGAAAAATTCTTAGAAAAAGTCTCTTTCCCTGAAAATATTGTTTTTTCCTCTTTCCATTTATTCTTATGCCTGGCAGC